CAGTCCTCTACTGCTTGAGCCACACCCCCATCCCTCTTTCATGTGCATGTATCTTCTATGCATATCTAAATGCACAATTTCATCTACTTCATTTGTTTTTATGTATGTATTAGAATACTATACCCATTATCGTATATCTTTTATTTTCCCCTCATTCTACATGACAGTGTTTTTCAGAATTTACTGTGTCTCGGTTTCCTGGAGAACGGTCACATCAGATTGCCGAGCCCTACACCCCAAATTTGTGATTCTGTAGGTCTGTGGTAGGATCAGAAATGTACATTTCTATCAGGTTTTCATTTGTGAACTGCTGCTGTGATGAACAGCCACACATGTGATAACTTAACATAAATTTATTATGTTATAATTCTGTATTATTTCCTGAACCATATTCTTTTGTCTTATTCTTCCCCTCCAATCCCTGTTCTGCTTCTTCACTCAGTGTTTCGTCTTTCTTGTTATCCACGTGACATGTTTGGTTTATACACCGTTCTTTTTATCCACAAGTTTAGTTTTTTCTTCACCACATTATTTCTTGTGGTGAAAGATATTCCTTAATATCTATCTTGATAATATTCCATTGTAGCTTATGGTACATTCTTTAGCAGCCTCTTTGATTGTTTTTCTTTCTTTCTTTTTTTTTTAAAAAAAAAAACCTCTGGGCTGGATGAGAGATGCATTCCTGTAAATCTGGGGGAGACTGAGGTTGGAGGATTACAAATTCAAGGTCAACCTGGGCAATTTAGTAAGACCTTGTCTCAAAATAAGACTGGGATTGTAGCTTGGTGGTATTGTACCTCTGTTTTAATGCCCAGTACTGAAAATAACCCGAACAGAAAAACCCCCAAAGCCATTTCATTTTGAAGTGTTTCCCTATGAATGTCCTTTTTCTGTTACAGCATCTAATCTTAAGATCCCACATTGCATTTAGTTGTTGTCTCTTCTGTGACTTTTTTTTCTCCTTCTTTCTTTGTCTTTCATGGTCTTCATACTTTGATGAGTTATTTGTAGAATCTCTAAGTTTTGGTTTGTTTATAATGTTTCCTCATTATTAGATTGAGGTTGTGGGTTTTTGTTGTTGTTGTTGTTTTGTACTAGTGATTGAACTCAGGGGCACTCAATCACTGAGTCACATCCCCAGCCCTTTTTGTATTTTATTTAAAGACAGGGTCCCACTGAGTTGCTTAGGGCCTCGCTAAGTTGCTGAGGTTTGCTTTGAACTCGAGATCCTCCTGCTTCAGCTTCCCGAGCTGCTAGATTACAGGTGTGTGATATTGTGCCCGGTAAGTTTATTTTTTTATTTTTATTTTTGGTAAGAATACCATAGAAAAAGCTGGGTACAGTGGTGCACACCTGTAATTCCAGAAATTTAGGAAAAATGAGGCAGAAGGGTTGCAAGTTCGAGGCTAACCTCCGCAACTTAGCAAGTCTAGACCCTTAGCAATTTAGCAGAACCTGTCTCAACAAGTGCTGGGGATGTAGCTTGGTGGTGAAGTGTGCCCTGGATTCAGTCCTCAGTCCCCCCCCCCAAAAAAAGCTTGTCCTTTGTCCCAGTTTCATGAGATTATTCTGTCTTTATAAGCTTATGAGATTTATTCTGTGTACTTTATCTGTTTCTAGACCTTGTATTATTCTGTCATTCTAATAGTCTGTGTTGCAGTAACAAATTCGGAGTTTTGTTTTGCTTTTCTGCAGTGCTGGGAATTAAATCCTTTTAAATGTAACACTAAGCGATTTTTAGTATATTCACAGAATTGTGCAGCCATCACTACAGTCAGAGCCAATTTTAGAATATTGATTGTGTTCTAAATCAGTCATTTTCCTAAAAAGAAACCCAATATCCATTAGCAGTCACTCTACATTTTCACTAAAGCCCTTCAATTTTTTTTTTTTTGGTGTGTGTGTGTGTGTGTGTGTGTGTGTGTGTGTGTGTGTTTTGGCGGGGATTTTGGGGGTGGAGGTGCTGGGGATCAGGTCCTCATGTATGCTCTGCAAGTGCTCTATCACTGAGCTACATCTCAAGCCCCGGTGTTTTTTGTTTTGTGTTGTTTTTAATTTTTAACAGCTTTTTTTCTTCAGCTTTTTTTCCCAATCACATATGGGTTTTCTTTTTTGGAACACTTACTTTCTACTTCTGTTTAAGTAGAGAGGTGAGAAAGAATAGTGTACTTCAAAAACTGTTGTGGTTGATATAGAAATATTTCAGAATTAAAATATTATGTGTGTGTGTGTGTATAGGTGTGTATGTGTGTGTGTATATATAGAGAGAATGTGCATGCGTGCACAGTGCTTCCATAGTACATATGATAAAATTGAAATAATATGAAGATGATTAGCATGCCCTCTGTGCAAATTTGTAAGTTGTTCCATATTTTAAAATATATATGTATATACCCATCTTAAATTTAAAAAAGGGAAAGAAAAGGTAATTGATGTGTTAGTTCTTTCACTGTAATAGATAACCTAATATAAATCAACTTAAAGGGAGGAAAGGTTTATTTTGGCTCACAGGTTTGGAAGTTGGGATCCCTGGTTAAAGGCTCAGTTGCATTGGGCCCATGGTGAGGCAGCACTTCGTGTCAGGAGTGTATGGCAGAGGAAGCTTCTCAACTCATGACAGCTGAGAAACTAAGAGAACAGTAATAGAGTTCTAGTATCCCCTTAAAAGCATGCTGCCAGTGACCAGATTTCCTCCTAAGCCCCATCTCTTAAAGTTTCCACTATCTCCCAGTAGCACCACAGGCAGGTGACCATTCCTTTAACACATGGACCTTTGGGGTACACTAACTCAAACTTAGCAAGATGTATTGTGTTCTTGCCAAATATTAGTCATTATATTAAATTGCCTATCTTAAAATGATCCTATATGTTTTAGATGATACCATACTCAGCTACTGACAGGTTTGATAGTCCAGAACATTGAGATTCAACCAGGTGAAGTAACTTGTCCAAATTTGATCAGTGACTGGGTATAGCCATGAACTCCTGTGATCCTAGTAACTCAGGAGGCTGAGGCAGGAGGATCACAAGTTCCAGGCAAACCTTGGCAACTTAGACTGTCTCAAAGTTAAAATAGGGCTGGGGAAGTGGCTCAGTGGTAGAGGGACTCTGGATTTAGTCCCCATTACATTCTCCTGCCCATCCCCCCAAAGTTCCAGAATCTATCATTTACAATGATTATTAAAGGACCCTACTATTGATAGCAACATCAGAAGTTTAAAGAAGTATATTTTTTCCAGGTATAATAATGTAATGAGACAACATAATCGTCTTGACTTGTGAGCAGAGGCATTTGTACTTCTCTTTGGTGTATTTGTGAACAGTTTTCTTTTGGTTCCCCATTGATGATCTCCTTAGAGGAAGATGTTAACAAGCACCTTGTACTAGGGTTTATTAAAACTTCTGCCTTTGTGAACATGGATAATAATGATCACTTCTTCCTAAAAGTGAAGTTGCAAACCACCCATATTGTTGCAAACACTCTCAGTAGGTTATCTGACAGGACCCATTTTGCATTAAATATACCAGCAAGGGGCGAGTTTTAAACTTCTGTCCTTATGAAAATTACTGATAAATCATTAATTTAAAAGCCCCACTGAATTATTTTTTAATATTTATTTTTTGGTTAGACACAATACCTTTATTTTGCTTATTTATTTTTTATGTGGTGTTAAGGATTGAACCGAGGGCCTTGCGCATGTTAGACAAGTGCTGTGCCGCTGAGCCACATCCCCAACCCCACACTGAATTATTTTCTACTGAAGTAAAGTGTCCATTGGTATCATATGGCTTGTAACCTGGTCTGCTGTGAGCAAATATATGAATTCTTGATGATTTGACTGCAGAGGAAGGAGTTATCAGTGTTTATAATAAACATTTTATGAAAAAAAAATCTTAGGGACTGGAGTTGTGGCTCAGCGGTAGAGCGCTCACCTAGCATGTGCAAGGCCCTGGGTTTGATCCTCAGCACCACATAAAAATAAAAGTATTATGTCCAATTACAACTAAAAAAAAATGTTAAAAAAAAACTTTAAAAATTTTACTACAAAGAAACTGAGGCTTAGATGAAATGATGTGACTCAGAGCTCAGGTTAATGGCAGAGGTATTCTAGGTCTTTTGAATTTTGAGTCTATAATCCTTTGTTTTAATAAATCTAGTATGTAAGCTGGATGTGGCACACACCTGTGTCCTGGCAGCTGGGGAGGCTGAGGTAGGAGAATTTCAAATTCGAGGCCAGCTTCAGCAACTTAGTGAGACCTTGTGTTTAAAAAAAAAAAAAAGTGCTGGGGAAGTGGCCCAGTTATTAATTAAGCCTTGGGTTCAATCCTAGTATCTCCCAAACAACAACAACAAAGAGCCCTTGTGTGTAGGCCAGAGATGTTGCTCAGTGTGATATAGCATGAGCTTAGCATGTGCAAGGCCCTAAGGTTCAAACTCTAGTACAACCCTCCCATCACCACCACCACCAAACAAAGGACTGGTGATGTAGCACTGTAGTAGAGTGCTTTCCTGCTGCACACAAGGTCCTGGGCTCCATCCCCAGCACTACAAACAAAACCCCACCACCACCCCAAAAAACAACAACAAAAAGCACTTTTCAAAGACTACTGTATCCTTTACACCATTTTAACCTGCAAATCCCAAATGAAGCTCAAATTATATGATTGTATCATCCTGTAATTCTGTTTTTTAGGATCACAGATGTGATTTTTTTTAATAAGTGTTTATCTTCAGATTATATTGTAAGATTATCATTTTTAGGGATGTGATAATAAAAATTATGCAATTATATGTAAAGATGTAATAATATATCTGCAGAAATAACTAGATGCATTTAAAAAATATCAACTCTTTAGTGGAGCTAGTGACATTTAATTTACCTCCCCCTTTTTTCTCTAAAGATTATTATTATTGTTTTCATCTAGTAAGTTATACACCTGAATCTTCTAATTTCTTGTTTTGTTGACTTTTTTTTTTTTTTTTTGGCTTTCCCTCATAGATCTTGAGCCAGATGATTGTGCATCCATTTACATCTTTAATGTAGATCCACCTCCATCTACTTTAAATTCACCACTTTGCTTACCACAACATGGATTACCGTCTCACTCTTCTGTTTTGTCACCATCATTTCAGCTCCAAGGTCACAAAAACTATGAAGGAACTAGTGACGTTCCTGAATCTAAATACAGCCCATTAGGTGGTCCCAAACCCTTTGAGTGCCCAAGTATTCAAATTACTTCCATCTCTCCTAACTGTCATCAAGAAACAGATGCACATGAAGATGATCTACAGATAAATGACCCAGAAAGGGAATATTTGGAGAGGCCTTCTAGAGATCATCTCTATCTTCCTCTTGAGCCATCCTACCGGGAGTCTTCCCTTAGTCCTAGTCCTGCCAGCAGCATCTCTTCTAGGAGCTGGTTCTCAGATGCATCTTCTTGTGAATCTCTTTCACACATTTATGATGATGTGGACTCGGAGTTGAATGAAGCTGCTGCCCGATTTACTCTTGGATCCCCTCTGACATCTCCAGGTGGTTCTCCAGGAGGCTGCCCTGGAGAAGAGTCCTGGCAACAACAGTATGGACTTGGACACTCCTTGTCACCCAGGCAATCTCCTTGCCACTCTCCTAGATCTAGTATCACTGATGAGAATTGGTTGAGCCCCAGGCCAGCCTCAGGACCCTCATCAAGGCCCACTTCACCCTGTGGGAAACGGCGGCACTCCAGTGCCGAAGTTTGTTATGCTGGATCCCTATCACCCCATCACTCACCTGTTCCTTCTCCTGGACACTCCCCTAGGGGAAGTATAACAGAAGATACCTGGCTCAATGCTTCTACCCATGGTGGATCAGGCCTTGGCCCTGCACTTTTTCCATTTCAGTACTGTGTAGAGACTGATATCCCTCTGAAAACAAGGAAGACTTCTGAAGATCAAGCTGCCATACTACCAGGAAAATTAGAGCTCTGTTCAGATGATCAAGGAAATTTATCACCATCCCGGGAGACTTCAGTAGATGATGGCCTTGGATCTCAGTATTCTTTAAAGAAAGATTCATCTGGTGACCAATTTCTTTCAGTTCCTTCACCCTTTACCTGGAACAAACCAAAGCCTGGCCACACACCTATATTTCGGTGAGTTGATGGAAATGGCTGCTGCTGACTTTTCATAGTTTGGATCATTGGTGGAAATGGTTTAAACATTTTTACTCCTTCCCTCCCTTTCTTATTTTCCTTCTTTCCTATCATCCATCTATCTATCTATCTATTTAACTTTTTGGTACTGGGTATTTAACCCAGGGGTACTTTACCAGCCCTTTTTATTTTTCTTTTGAGATAGGGTCTCACTAAGTTACTTAGGGCCTTGTTAAGTTGCTGAGGCTGGCCTCAAATTTGGAATCATCCTGCCTTAGCCGCCCTAGTCTCTAGGATTATAGGCATGCGCTATCACTCCCAGCTCCCTTTTTATTATTATTTTTTAAAATTTCTACTTAAAAACAACTATTTGTAAATCTATTTTTATTTTCTTTGAAGTCTTCAAAGCAGATAGGATAAAGTTATAATTTTGGAGGTATATAGGTGTTATGCATAGTGCCACACATTTGTAATCCCAGCTACCTCAGGAGGCTGAGACAGCAGGATCCCAAGCTGAAGGCCAGTTTGGGCAATTTATGGAGAACCTATCTCAAAATAAAACTTTAAAAAGGATTGGGGATATATAGCTCAGTGATAGAATACTTGCCTACTGTGTGCAAGGCCCTGGGTTCAAGTCTTAGTGCCCCTTCTACAAAAGTATATAGATGATGAATTGTAGATAATAAGAAATTACACATAAGGATTTCCTAGAAGGAATTTTCTTATCTAGAAAATCTTGTAAAAGGTGGGTTATGGTGTGAATTACATTAAAAATAAAACTAATTAAAAAAAGAATTGCCAAAAAATTATATATAGCAGTAACATAAGAGAATTCTAAGAGCATTCATATAATTACTAAAATCCTGTAATCATAGAATTCTAACATGGGAGCAAAGATATGAGGTATATTTGTCCTATAATATTCAGCATTAAAGTCATACTTTATCTGAAAAAAATAAAATAAAAAAATAAAACCTAATTGGGAATAAACTTAACTATATATATATTTTTTAAAAAAATATTTATTTATATATTTTTTAGGTATAGATGGACACAACACAATGCCTTTATTTTTATGTGGTACGAGGATTAAACCTGGGTCCCGCCCATGCTAGGCAAGCGCTCTACCGCTGAGCCACAATCTCAGCCCCTTAACTATATTTTTAAGAGCTTAAAGTCCCTTGTCAAATTTGTGGCAAGCATTTTCTCCCCATAATGTTTTTTATTGACTGACTGACTAGGATCTTACTACATGGTGTTGCCCAGGCTAACCTTGAATATGCCATCATCCTCTTGCCTCAACCTCCCAAGTAGCTTCCAAGTCCACTATACCTGGCCTTAATAAAAATTTACCTTTTGACTCTCAGCTTTATAAATTTATGATTTTATTGTTTTTTCGAGAAATTTAAAAATTTTTGTATTCATATGTATTTTTTTCTTTTTGACTTTGTGTTACATTTGAAAGTCTTATCCTACTCTAAAATAATTAAAATTAAAAACCTAGCTTTCATGTGTTTCTAATAGTTTTGTGTGTGTGTGTGTGTGTGTGTATATATATATATATATATATATATATATAAAACATGCATGATATTTATATCAGATATGTTTGAATCTTGGATCCAGCTGAAATATATTTTGTTGTAAGGAATGAAGAATAGTATAACGAATACTTTCCAAACAACTTGTCAGTTGTCACAATACTATTTCAAGAATTAATCTGATGTATAATTGGTTATAAAATATATTAAATACCCACATAAAGCTGTATCCATTTAAGGGATTTATTTTTATGCTTTTCCATTGGTATGAATTATCATCTGTAGAATTCTTAAAAGAGAGAGAGAGAGAGAGAGAGAGAGAGAATTTTTTTTTAATATTTAATTTTTAGTTATTGGCGGACACAACATCTTTGTTTGTATGTGGTGCTGAGGATGGAACCCGGGCCACACACATGCCAGGCGAGTGTGCTACCGCTTGAGCCACATCCCCAGCCCCAAGAATTCTTAACTTTAGAAAAATATAATTTGGAATTGTGGTATTGATGCTGTCTTTGAACCTATTGGTCTGCTTCTGAAATTTATCTTAATCTTTCTGTGTGGGTTTTCTCAAGCCTGCAGAACAAGTATAGAAATTAGAGTTGGTAAAATTGAGTTGTTTTTTCAGACTAATAAATATAAATACCGGGCTGGGATGTGGCTCAAGCGGTAGCGTGATCACCTGGCATGCGTGTGGTTCGGGTTTGATCCTCAGCACCACATACAAACAAAGATGTTGTGTCCACCAATAACTAAAAAATAAATATTAAAAAAATTCTCTCTCTCTCCCCCCTTCTCCCTCTCTCACTCTCTCTTAATAAATAAATAAATAAATAAATATGAATACCTTCACAGTGGAAAGGTAGGCTGAGGACAGTGAAGGAGAAACAATGAAATAATTGAGATATTTTAGATGTTAAGAGTTACCTTAAAAGTTCCATTTCAGGGGCTGGGGTGTGGCTCAGTGGTAGAGTGCTCACCTAGCATATGTGAATCCCTGGGTTTGATCCTCTGTACCACATAAAAATAAATCGATAAAAAAATAGGTATTGTGTCCAACTACAACAACAAAAATAAAATTTTTTTTTAAAAAGTCCCATTTCATCAACCATTAAGATGATGTTACTTTTTTAAAAAAGTTTTTTTTAAGATGGACACAATATCTTTAATTACTATTTTTTATTATTTTTATTTTTTATTTTATTTTATTATTTTTTATATTTTTATGTGGTGCTGAGAATTGAACCCAGGGCTTTGCACGTGCTAGGCGAGCACTCTACCCCTGAGTACTCTACCTCTGAGCCACAAACCCAGCCCCCCAATATTACTTTTTAATACATAGTATTGTAGCTTTGGATCCATTAACCTTTGACTTGAAGACATATATTTTAGAATTCTATATTTTCAGTGTTAATATATCTAAATGAAACTTAAAGCATCTAAGTTAGTTTTAATTATCTTATTGATCAAGTAAAAAACAATTCCTTTTAAGATGTTACTGGTGCCTCATTTTTTTTAGCTACCTATATACCAAAATTAAAATTATACCTTAAATTGCAATCTGTTGCTGAATATAAGCAATTTTTCAAAGAGATCAGCAAAAGAGTAATAGGAAGTGGGGTAATCAACATACGTAATAGATGGACTTCCACTGATTTATACCTATATGTATTCTGAGACAAAATAGAGATTTCTGTTCTTAAAGAGATACTGGTAAACATACAAAGATGCACATCTTCGTTTTAAGAAATCAAATTATTGGTTTTTTTTTTTTTTTTTTT